AGACTACATTACTATCTGTTTTATGTTATTAAGGGTGCAATTTGAGAATTTTAATTTTTGAAGTTATGAATTAAAAATTTAATAATCTTTCAGGTGCAAAGTATCATTCTCTTATTATCTAAATTATTTTTTACGAATGTGCCGTATGAAAGTTGATTTAGCTACAAAATCCTATCAAAAACAAAGTCTATAACCCACCCCCCCCCCCCCCCCCCCTAAAAAAAAAAAAAAAACCAAAACCATGGTAGATCCCTGTCCAGAAACACACCTGTCCTGCCCCACTTGCCCGAAATCCGCCAACCCCCACCTCAACTACAAACCTAAAACCCCACTACAACCACTCCACCCCCACCCCCAAACTCGAGAGACCCACCTCCCCCGTCAACATAAATATTGCAACTCCTCTCACCCTCCCCTTCAAAACCCATCCCTCCCACCACACATCACCAACACCATGACCTCAATCCAATTCAGCAAACCTTCCAATTCATCAAACTTCCCAATTCAAAAATAAAATCAAAAACTCAATTTTTTACTGATTTGTATCCACCACTTCAATCGATTTTGATTTTTGAGTTGGAAATCAATCTCAATTTTGGAGTAGAAGCGATAGACGTTTCTTTTTTCTATTTTTATTTTTTTGTTTAAAGGTGTGAATTAAGCGGTAAACTTGAAAGAAGCATAGATTTCTTTACACTCATTGGATATCAAAATTTAATCAAGCGTATCAATGTAATTTAAAACACAATGAGAATATTCTTTATAAGTTGAAGATAGAAATATATCCTAATATTAATTTGATATTATGTGATTGATATTCAATCAATTAGCCAGATTTCGTGGCGTAATTTGATTTCTAATTTATGTCAATGGCTAAGATTAAGGGATATAATTATGTTTGTCACCCTATATATATGGGTGTATCTCTTGTGTATTTATCATCAAGAATAATAAAGATGTAGCCCTTGATGGGTTTTGTGTGTGGACGAAGGTCTAAGGACCGAGCCACGTTATTCCTTGGTGTTCGTTCTTGATCAATTTTCTTTTATGTTAAATTTTAACAATAATTATCGGAAACCACATGAGACATCTATACAAATTAACCATGTATACATTACAACCACCACATGTCTCCAAATGGATGCTCCAATCATGCCATATAGCATTGGAAGTGAAGAAACATATATTAAAAACATAGTACAGACATGGTGTTCATGAGAGCCCATATTTGTTATGGAGACAACTGCATTTCCAACTGGCATTCATACTGGACATGCTCTAAATGATAACAAAGCTTATAACAAGAAGGGTATCTACATGTTACTTGGAGGGAGGTGGGTGCGATTATGAGGTGGGCTCTCACAGCCACAGCTTTTGTTTGTGAAACCTAACTTACCTCCTTCCATGATATTTTAGTTTCATACTCTCCCCTCCTTGATATTTACCAGCAATGCTACTCCTCTTCAATGATTTTCCTCCTCAATCTGCCAGGGTATTACGGATAGAGAGGTGTAAGAGATTATTAACTCGAGATATTAATTTTGAGTTTTGCAAAACACGCAATGGTTGATTCAATTCACATGTTTTTATAGTTGATTGCACACATCGGAAGCATACACATTGTTAGAACGGCTCTTGATTAGTAAAAGAAAAGGTTTAACTTCAAGTGTAGATCAAGTGGTAACAAAAACGGGCTATAAATTCAAACGTTTTGAGTTCGAATTATGGCAATCTCTTGTAGCCAAGTAATGAAGAATTTATCCCTCATGAATACTTTAGTCCCAGTGTAGATGACCTGCCTTTAACCCGACTGGAGAGAAAATTAATCGAAGTGCAAAGAAACTGATTTAAACATCCTTGACCGTTAAATCAAAAAAATAAAAAAGTTTATCCTCTCTTATATGATATATTCCAACTAATCAAAAGAATACATTATATATGCATAACAAATATATATATATATATATAGTATGTTGCTATGGATCAAATTCTCTCTTCTTTTTTTTACATTATTCTTTTATGAAAAGAATATGGTATATATTTTAGCATTATGCTATCCTTATCTTCATTCCTTGCTTGAGCAATACTCCTTTGGTATGATTGCGATGCTGAAATGCCAACCTATTGGGCACAAGAACATCCATATTCCAAGCAACAACTTTCAATGTTAGACATTTTTTCCTTGCCATTCTCAGATAAGCATCTAAAACTAATGAGTGCACTGTTTATCATGTTATATTCTCCTCAACAACGTTCTGTATTGGAGAGCCACTGCCCTACTTGACGGGTCATTAGCCAGTTTAGTCTTCACAAAAAATCAACCTCTTCAAAGTAGAATTAAGGTTGTCTATCACTCACTTATGTCAAAACTCCCTGTAGACATATCCTACTAATCTATAATCTTATAAAGTTGAGTTCGTTTTGTGTCACACTAGTTTTGTGTACCAATTATTTTTAATAAATTTTTATTGTATTTAGTCGAGTTTGTATCGATTTATTTATTTATTTATTTATTTGGTCTAATAGATTCATCCGTTATCATCTGAACCCACTGTAGAATATGAATCCAGTGTTCGGATCATATATAGATTTTCTTCGCATATAGAATATGAATTTTTTTTTTTAACATTATGCATTACCAGATTTATCTGTTAAAGTTAGCCCCTTTTTTGATGCAAAATTCCACATGTTTAACTCCTAAGTTTTTCTATACAAAACTGTGCCGTTTTACTTAGCAACAGAGTGTACTATTCCTAACTAGCCGCAGAAGAGCTGCACCCGATTCAAATTCACACTCTTCAATGTAAAATCTTATTTGCAAAATATGCTTTAAAAGTTTTTTTTTTATTTTATCAAAAATAAATTTTACAAACACATTTTTACATTGAAAAACGAAAAGTTTGAACTACGTTTTCATGGAGATAACGGCAAATTAGAAAATTAAGATAACGATAAAATTAAATTAAAAATCACGAGAATATAGAAAATTGATTTGGGTAATGGAGCTGGGCCCCCCTAGACTGTCTAATAATTCAGCCCTTACTACAGTTAGTAGGGCACTATGCCTACTTTGCTTTTAGCTTTCCTAGACACATGCATATCTTCTGCTTTCAGGGATCCCTAGTAAAAACTAAGGAAAATTTCGCTCACACCTCTCATAATTTATCGTATTTTTAAGGATATTTTCTCTATTATCAAAAATATTACTGACATCCTTTCTAGTTTAATTTAAACATCACCAACACTTCCTACCATTTCTAACCAAAAAAATCATCTAAAATGCCAAAAATACCCCTATATAAACATCAAGTAATTTTTCTACATAAAATTTTATTAAAATTTGAGCTATAAAAATTTTTAAAAAAAATTGTAAATAACAATTTTAGTAAATAATTTGTTAGTAAATACTAATTTTTTATTTACTAATTCGTAAATTTAAAAAAAAAATCAAGCTTATTAAAATTTATTTTTTACATATTAAAATTTGAGTCGATTTGAACTCTACCCGAGTTGTTAGCGCCGATTAAAATTCTCTTTCGAGTCGATTAAAATTTATATTTTTTTACTTATTAAAATTTGATTTATTAAAATTTGAGTCAATTAAAATTTATATTTTTTATATATTAAAATTTGTACTGATTAAAATTCAATGCGAATTGATTATAATTTGATTTAAGTTGATTAAAAATAATTTTTAATTGGCTCAAATAAAATTTTAATTAGCCCAAATTTTAATACCTAAAAAAATTTTAATTTTTAATTGGCTCAAATTTTAATATGTAAAAAAATAAATTTTAATTAGTTTGAATCGAATTTTAATACGTAAAAAAAATAGAAAACATGGGAGTCTCATTGAAGATATATTTATCTAGACGGGTCTCATTGAAGAGATATTTATCTAGAGGGGGTGTAGATAAAATTTATTCTCAAATATATCATGACAATTTAGTAAAAATGAATTCTAGTTAATATTTTTAATCTAACACAGGATGTCACTGAAGATTCAAAAAATAGATGAGGTATTTTTGAAGATATGATAAACTAGAAGAGATGTAGTTGAAATTTTCCATGAATACTATCATTTATGCAATTGCTTTATGACTATTAATAAGTGATTGAGTTGAATGCACTAAACACAAGTAACTTATTAAGACTAAATGATGTTAGTTTTATTTTTCAATAGTAATTTAGTTTTGATTTATAAATATCTTTCTTGTGTTTATGCTTAAAAATACATCCAAACTTATAATAGTTTAAATCAAATTAGTAAAATTTATTTATCCATATTCTTGTATGTCCACCGTAAATTGAAATTCTTGCTCTATCCTTGATGTTAATAAGTTGATTAGATCATACATGCTTAATAAACAAGTTATACATAATACAAACATGATTGTATACGATTAGACACTACTTATATACGATAAATTTATCATTAGGGTAGCTAAATGATCCTATCATTCAAGGTTCGACTTGATCTCAACTAGGTATTAGCTCGTTTAAATTGTAAAATAAACAAAATATGATCAAATTGTTGCAGGTTTATAAGTACTTGAATTTCGACAACGTTTGACTTGACTCAATTAGATTCTTTTGAATAAATAATTCTAATTTTATTAGAATAGCCTTAAACTTATCTTCAAATAATTTTACATCATATGTATTTTTGTTATGAAATTTTTTATTTGTTTAAAAAAATTTAAGCTCGAATTCGATTTAAATACTCACAAGCTTATGTCACCCAAAGCTAGAAAAAAAATTTTAAGTTCAATTAAATTCGAGTTAAAGGAGTTACAATCAAAATATGAAGAAATATAATTAATTAAAGTCGGTAAATTAAGAGGGAAGGTTGATATTGTTGGGTTGGTGTCCTGTGATAATCAAGTAACTAACATAATACCAGAAATGTCCTTACTCTTACTTTCCTCGATTTAGAAACAAAACTAACTGTTATTCCATATCAAATCAAGGCTGTTTTGGTCACTCTAACCTTCAAACAGATTCAATCGATTGATGCTCGTCTTCATGGTTACTGTTTTCTCTCTTATAACCACCAGCCAACCGAAACCAGCAGAGAGCTCAGAACACAAACTCAGTAGTCTCGTCTATAGATATACAAATACCTACCTGTAGATCTAGAGAGGACCTATAGAGAAAGTTTAGAGAGAGAGAGAGAGAGAGAATGGGGGAAGTGTTGGACAGTAGTAACGTATCTTCCTCACCACCACCACAAGCTCTTCTCGAGAGGCTGAAAGATTATGGACAAGAAGATGCTTTTGCCCTCTGGGAAGAGCTCTCCAATGAAGAACGAGACCTCCTCGTCAAAGAAATCGAGGTCGTTTAAATTTCATTCATTATTATCCATTCGAATCCATTTTCAATAGATCCCGTACATTCAATCTGAATATACCTAGTTAAGCGTTTAATTTTAATGGATTCCGTTGTTTTGAATCATATGAACTTGTTGAATTTCAGAACTTAGATCTTCCGAGGGTCGATCGGATAATTCGATGCTCTTTTAAGTCACAAGGTCAGCTTGACTCTGTGCTTGTGTCGGCGTGTTTTCTTAGATTCTGTGTTTTATTGTATTAATTGTGTTAAATCGGTAATTTTAATATTGCCAAAAATTAGATCAGTATCACGTCTATCTCTCTCCGTTTGCTGTGTATGTGGGACTGCACTCGATGTATGTTTGTGTCAATTCAATTGTGTGGGTGCTTGCGCGTGCGCAATACAGGGCTTCCAGCGGCGGTGATAGAGCCGGTGCCTGAGAGCAATGTATCGACAGTAGAGGAGCGGACAATGGAAGAAAGAGAGAGATGGTGGAAGAAGGGACTGAAGGCTATTTCCGAAGGGAAGTTAGCTGTGTTGCTTCTTTCTGGGGGCCAGGTACTTTGCTTGACTATCTTAATCATTCCAACTAATGCTACTTGGATCTAATTTGGAGAACTAATTTATTGCTTCAGTTGGGTTGATGGTAGTTGTAATATTAAATAGGATCCACTATCAATTCAATGGCAAGGGATTAAATCTCTAAATTGGGTCCAACTAGCATTGAATCATTTCAGGTTATAGACCTTAAAGGTTACTCTTTATTAGGTCCAATTAGTTGTTGATCAGTTGCTTTTACTTTTAGTTGAACTAAATTACGACACTTAAAAAGTTCATTGACTTATCTAATAAATAGTGTTCCAAAAGAAACAAAAATAATTGTCTGATAAAGTATCTACATTGGTAGGTGCATGTGGTATTTCTTTCTTTCTTTCTTCCCTCTCTTTCTTGGGGATAGAGTTTGGTATGATGTTACTTTTTTGAGATGCCCACTAATGACAAGTTACTGTTGGACATGCTGGCATAACTAGAGGAAAAAAGGTAATATTATTATGCTTTAAGTATAGTGGGTTTATGCCGACAACATGTTTTACAGGGAGTAGCATCTTTTTCATGGTCCTGTTATTTGGAATAAATCCCACAATCAAAGATAGAGAGAAATTCTTCACAGTAAATTCTTAACATTCACAATCTAATCAATCCACATTTAAATCAATCACAATCTCCGGGATCAATTCCACATTTACAAGCTGATAATATTGTTGGAAAGAATGTTACTATTGACAACCTGGGAGGGTAGCCAATGACATGATCAACATAATCTATTATCCACTTGATGGATGGCTCATTGTTTGTTAAATTACTGTTGATGGCACAGATTTGAAATGGAACCCTGTTTTGTTGGGGCAAAATTTATGTGCGTCTTGCAGTTGGCCTCCATTCTGTTTACAATGATAAACTAGAAGTAGGCTAGATGATCTGGTCTTTCCCTCTTCATGCAAGATTCAACCTTGGGTTCCGGTTTTGATTCTTATTTAATCTCACACATATTGAAAGACTATTACTTCATGAATATTATAATTTGGAGCTTTCAAAATTTCTTCATTTTGAATCATGTTTTTAACTTTTGCACTGGTTTGTTGCTGATTCAGCATTCTCTCTCTCTCTCTCTCTCTCACACACACACACACACACACACACACACATCAAGTACAATCTATTTCTTGCTTGTTCTAACTACAATGCTCTCTGTAATATATTGGGAAAAATTGATTTTGGTGTGCTCGGAATCAAGGATCAAAATTTTGTTTCGAAAAGGTTGAAATAACCGAAACTTTTCTATTTTTAAGGAGACCAAAACAAAGAAATGATTGAATCTAAATTCCAATGTTTAAAGGTATTTCAAAATATTTCTAGATATTTTGGCATATTTTCACCAATGTTTTGAAATGTTTTAAGGCGTTTAGAGATATTTCGCTATATTTTGTCCAATATTTTGAAATGTTTTGGAAATAAATTCTTAAATTTTTTATGCGCTTTCATTCTATTTTTGAAATATTTCTGAAACATTTTGTTTCCTAGGTAACCGAATCAATGCACCAAATCAAAATTTTGATCTTTGCTCGGAATGTTGCAAACAAAATGGCTTTTATTAAGTGGAAGTTAGTTTCTAATTGAGATTGATCAAAAGCATGAAATAAATATTTCATTGAATCTTGTGTCAGTGTGTGCATACAAGGATAGAACTGATTTCTTTTCCCCGTCTATTAGTTCTTCCTTTTTGTTCTAAGGATAGATATGCATCTATACGTGGATATGTTATCCTAGTTGAAACGTTTAGCTCAATCAATTAGAAATGAGTGAAGAGACCCATAAAGCTTATACACTAATTTGGGAGATGTTATTTATTGATGTGGGGCACGCTCTAACAATCCTTACTCGGATGGGCTTAAAGGTATATCCTGCTTGGAAGAATGCATATGTGAATGTGACTAAGCTGCTGGTTTTAGGAAGTAGAGGTACATCAAGTGTTTTCCTTGAACTCTTGGGGGCAGGAAAAATGGTGATATATTTTTATGAATTTTTATATGTGTATGTGGAGATATTAGTTGATTTATGCCTGACAATTAATAGACCCATCTTGCTTATGCACACTGTTTTTTATCTTGAATCTCCTTGTTTTGCTTCTTAATGCTGCAATAGTTTGTGTGTTTTCAAATTATCTGCTCAAATGGTTCTTGACTCTACTTCTTCATGATTGAATCTTGGAATGCAGGGAACTAGGCTTGGAAGTTCAGATCCAAAGGGTTGTTTTAGTGAGTAATTTTTATTGTCAGTTTCACTCAAAAGCATACTATTTCTGGGTTACTGATTTTATTATTTAGTTGGCTGGTTTTACTTGTTTTAATGGGCTACATGTCATCGAACTACATTGCAAATGGAATGTTTGGTGTGGGGCTACAATTTGCAGTCTCTTATTTGGTGCTTCTCTTATTTAAGGAAACATTCAATAGAATTGTATTGTGTGTGCTTCCAGCTTTGTTTACGCTTACATCAACTCAAAGGCATATCCCAATTTCTTGGGTGTGGGTAATGATGTTTTTGCCCAAATCAGGATACATAGTTGGCAGTCATATTCTTTTATTTACCCCTTTTTCTGTTGGACCTTTATCATGTCCACGTTGCACATTTAACTGGAGCTAAATTGTTGAATATGCCATATCCTGTAAATCTGTTAGTTTTATTTATCATCGTTTTCCACATTTATGTAGCACCTTGATGTCAGTTTCTTACATGCACTAGCCAAATATGAATGATAACAATTAAGTGATTTCATTTTTTACTTTTCACACTGCAAGAACTTGGCAGGATTATATTTCATTTTTTATGGATATCAGGAACTAAAGTGACTTGTTTCCTGTATCCCTTTGTTCCCCAATAAGTTTGGTGATGTTGTGTAACTGTGGAATGCTTTAACCTAAGATCTCTCTCTCTCTCTCTCTCTCTCTCTCTCTCTCTCTCCCCATTTTAAAGATTATTATTACAAACAATAAGTATTTTGGTTCATTTCAGATATTGGACTTCCATCTGGGAAATCACTTTTCCAACTTCAAGCTGAAAGAATTTTGTGTCTTCAAAGATTAGCAGCTCAATCTGTAAATGAGGGTAAGCTTCATATTATAGATTCCATACGACCTTATTTTATTTTCCCTTTGATCCTAATTGTGTTACATGCAGGCTCTGCTGGTATTGTGCCAATACATTGGTATATAATGACTAGCCCATTTACTGATGATGCTACTCGAAAGTTCTTTGAAAGCCATAAATATTTTGGCCTTGAAACTGATCAGGTGAGAGATCTACACTTTTTTTTTTTTTTTTGAATTTATTGTTGATTTCTGGTTTTTCCTTACTTTGGTTAACATTTGTTTGATGCAGGTCACCTTTTTCCAGCAGGGCACAATACCTTGTGTTTCAAAGGATGGTAGATTTATCATGGAGACTACATACAGAGTAGGGTCCATTTTAGCTTTTCATGATAGCTGTTGGGTAGTTTCAGTGATTGCAAAAACTGTATAGTAGTACCAATTAATTTTAATTTCACTTGGTTAATAGAGATAGTCTGGTATTCACAAGTGGTTTGACTGTTGGTAGAAAGGGAAGGTGACTAACAGGATTCTCATTGGGGTTAGGTTTCATTCCTATTGTTACTGGAGGGCATAATTATCAAACTTACCATATTACTTATCGAAGTTATGATTATTCACATATAAATTAACTGTCAAAAAGTCATTGCTTGAGATCTAAATTTGGCTATTCATTTGAAAATTTTCCAGTGAATTATGTTCATGAAGAAACTTCTGAATATATTTAATAAAAGGGAAAGTAAACATAAAACAAAATAATGGCCTGTCACATGACATTCATTGTTTAATATTTAACGTGTACAAGCAATTTTCAAAATATGATATTGTTATTCCTTGACCTTGGTTATAAGGTGCAGATAAAACTCTTATTCAGAAGTCTAATCTTCTTAAAGGAGTAACGCATGGTTGCAAAACTTCAGCAACTATCTTTTTTCTGTTTCTTTTTTTCTTATATCTCCCTTTTGACCATCTACTGCCAACTAAAATTTTTTAAATTTGTAATGCCTCATTGCATAATTTACCGATGCAAGAGAGAATTAATGAGGATTTCCACTTGGAGCACGCTTAAGGCCATCTCTAATTATGTCTTAAGCTGCTAAAGTAATTTTAGGTCTTTTTATGAAGATTAGGAATCAAGGGCATGTAGGTAATCTTAATAATTGCTGGACATGGGTTCAGTATGTATGTGTGATGAGATAGTTTCCTTTTAAGTAGAGTGTGAGTGAATTATGAGTCTTCACAGGCCAGACTCCTAAGCTCATTCCTATGAAGCTCACAACAAATTAGACCATTCCTTGGCCATTTAGCCCTCAATCAATTCCAAAACAACATGGTTGCCACCAATTTTTTCTGAAGCCATTTCTCTGGAATTCCTGCAGCTGTACACATATAAAATCAAGCGAATTGCTTCCCCTACTCACTCCTAAAGCCTGCCATTCCTTTTCCACCTGTTTGACCACTACACACACTTAAGTTCTTGTGCTAAGTCCACACAAGTTCTTCAGAGATGCTCCATTTTTAGTTTTGAAGTACTAGCTCTTTGTAAGTTCACACAATTATGGCCAATTGGCCATGACTGTGAATTGTCGCTTGCCTCTCACAAAAGAAGTGATCACCATATGTTAGAATTTGAAATTCAATAAAAGGATTTTTTTCAGTGAACCTCAAACAGTGCGAGGTATTTATATATAAAATTAAATATGCTTAAAGGAGGGGGAGGGGGGGGGCTACAAGTTAAAAGGTCGTACTATTGTCTAGGATAGATAAATATTAGGTAGTCTTATCATCATGAGATCAAGTTCTAAGAATAATATTACCACCTGATTAGCAACATTAGATATTATGGTTACACTTTATTTGCAATATAAATAGCATTAGAACTTTGTAAAGAAAAGACACATTCCCATTTTTCTTGTGGAGCTCTCAGATGTCTATTTATGCAAAGGATAAGACTAAAAGCTAAATAAAATTCTGAGAAAATTTGTTTCTGATGCTTAATATGTTTGATTGTAGTGATCATATTCTGTTCAATTCTTCATTCTGGTCGTGTTAAGACTTGTAGGTTGTTCAGATTATACCCCTTATTTTCTAGTTTTCGAATTTTAATTTTCTCTCATAAGACTCATATAATTTCTGTTAATATGGTTATTACGGGAATCTAACTTTTTTCAAATCCAGGTAGCAAAGTCTCCCGATGGAAATGGGGGAGTTTATTCAGGTATGTATGTTTCTAAAATAAGGTACCTATCTAAACAAAAATTATATGTTTAAAATGTAATGGATATGTGAATCACTACTTCAGAACTTAATCTACTTGTTGTTCATCATTTCATTGTTTGGGCAATAGTAATTGGTTTATTGTACCCTGAACCTATAAATCAGCCTTAAAAACTTCAAGATTATTGGAAGATATGGCCATGAGAGGTGTTAGATATTTGGATTGCTATGGAGTTGACAATGCTCTGGTGAGTGGTTCTCATTCCTTCAATTTTATTCCCTTCTTGGGTTAGTGGAAGTCTCAAAGAACATTGTTATATCTGAAGATATGGGAATTACTGTTTTGAGAGCAGGTTCGTGTTGCCGATCCAACTTTCTTGGGCTATTTCATTGATAAAGGCGTAGCTGCAGCTGCAAAAGTTGTCCGTAAGGTGACTAATTGTGTTGGGTTTTTGGGACTGAATTATGAACTTTTATGTTGATTGCTTAATTTCTCATGCATCCAATTCTTGATTTTAGGAAGCTATTATATCAGATTCCAATGTGGCTTTTGATACCTCTGTTACAAAAAATACCTGATATAGTTTTTTTTTATAAGGCATGAATGTACGAGAAATTAAGTGCAACACGTAGGGCATTGGTTTTAGTGATATGAGAATTGTTAGGGAAGTTCTCATTGATCGATTTGTAAAGATAAAATAGTGGCTATAACGAGAATTGCAAATACCCATTTAAAACACTACTTATACAATTTTCTTTTCTTTGCGGTAAATGTTGCTTACACTCAAAGTTGCTCATGGGTTTGCTTTTGAATTATTTTCCACCCAACTTCCTTATGCATGGAAATTTTAGTTCTTCTGAATAACTGGTGCTGGAGTGGAATTACTGATCCCCCCCAAAAAAAGGAGAAAAAAATGAAAAGCAAAGTCATAACTGATTTTAAGATTTATAAGTAGCTATTATATGAAGGAAGATGTTTTGCTTGGTTGATGTGATTTGCTTTGACATCCTTCTAATTGTGGTTGTTGGTTCAAACTCTCCAAGGAGACTGTGCACTATTGTTTGTAGTGGTGAGGCCTGTAAAGCTTTTAAGCTTTGCTGTTCACACATATTTGTCTTTCATTTGATGAAGGAATAGAACGAATTTGTGAAAACCCATAACAGGTTTGGGGCAGGGCAGAGCTGATTATGTATTGCTGGGATAGGGGTGGAATAGATGTGTCCTCCGGTAACTGCCCTGCTGCCATCCCTATAATCAAAAGGTTTTGGGTAAAAAAGCTCCAAGAGAATTTGCACCTGATGGGAGGCATCTGTGAGCAACCAAGATGAGAGGCACGGAGCTAAGTCATGCCCCCCCCCCCCCCCCCAATAGTTTGTATAAGCTGGGTGTCTATAACATGGTTGCTGAAGAGTTTTATGTTTTATATGTCAAACAGACTCCCCCTCCTCCCTAACTTACCGTACAACTGTACAAAGAGAAGGTTTGTGGACTAATCAATCAGGAGATAATAAAATACTATTTTATTATTTCCTAATTAGAATAATAAAAAAAATAGCACATTCTAATTTCTTTTGAGTTTTCATTTTTCTCTCACCAAAATCCCTAGCCAGCTGGCTCTTTAAAAAAAGTAGAAGAACCAGTTGCCGCCATAACTCAACACATTCTTGAGTCTTTCACCCAAGAAACAATCATTGATCAGACCAAAACAAATTCAATCGCTGTTTTTCTCTCCATTGATTAATCAATTAATATTGGTTGATCAATTAGACTTGTGCTTGTTCTTACTATTTCTACTACAACTACGAAACGAGCTTTTTTAGCCATGGATGGAGGATGATTTTCTCACAAACTCTTTGATTGTGTACACAGAAAAGGAAATTGCTAAAAAGTTTAGTACGGATTCAATTATAGATGAATTTCGTGATATAAAAGAATTTCGAGCACCACTTTGATAGGTGCAATTAGATTGATATGTATTAAAAAAAAATTGTTTATCTTATTTTTGTGTGAATAACTTCGTTTATATTGAATATACTATTTTGTCATATTGAATTTTTGAATTTTTGTTTGTGCGAGTTTTTGTGCATAAGATTTGGCCCTCCAATAATAAAATTCTGGCTCCGTCTCTGCAAGATGATGAGAAATCCCACTAATTCGATAGTTGGGATAGAGTTTGCCAATTTGGAAGCATTTATTTATTGTTGTTCCCAAGTCATTTTCTAAATGCGGCAATTGTTCAATACCACTTTTCCTTTCTAGATGCGACTAATTATAGATCTCACAGGTAATGTCTGTTGGGTGAGTTTCATAGAACTCTTAAGAGTGTCCAGTACTAGGATTTCAATAGGGTCTATGGATTTCGTTGCTCTATTCCTAGGGTTACTCTTTAGAGAATGAACACTTAAGGCCTACCTGTTGTTGGACTCAAAAAATTATTTACTACCATGGTATACTAGGTTAAACTAGCACGAATGGATATTTCTTTATCGCCTGCGAGATGACTACTTGGGACACTAAATTAGTGTCCAAGACTCCCAAGTTTATGTTGCAGAGATGAAATTAGTTGTCAATAATATGTTGTGGATGTGCACTGAAGGAAATTTAAGGCTTAAATCCGAAGTAGAAAAAGCTACCTTATACTAGGTATTGTCTCGAAACTGTGATGAAGGTTTTGTTACTTTAACTAACGTTACTTTAACTAGCATTTTTATTTCGATATTTTGGTTAATTTGAAATCAAGTTGGTCCTAATGATTCCTTGAATTTGCTAAAGGTATTACAATTAAATTGCACAGTATAGTTTCAGAAAGTCAGTTATTACTCCCCGGAAAATATTTCTGAATAAAGAAAACTGAATGTTGTGACTGCATTCTAAGGTGCATGGGGATCTGACCAACATGTCTTTGCCGAAGGAAGTCCTGATTAAATTTATCATCAGTTTTTTTCATATATGGAAGCCCTTAAGTTAATCTGACAGTATCAGCTGAAAATTTGAATGCAGATGGGTATAACTTGAACTTCTGTTGGATTTTAGTTTACTTGAGCATATTAATTTGCTGTTCTATGTTGATACTTATATACAGGCGCACTCACTTGTGGTGTGGTTTTTTCGAAACTTGTATCTTTTAGTGTGTTATTCAGATTTTGGATATTTTTCTTACATGATTCTCGACTTATCTGTTTACAGGCTTACCCGCAAGAGAAGGTTGGCGTGTTTGTACGGCGAGGTAAAGGTGGACCTCTCTCGGTTGTTGAATACAGTGAGTTGGATCCCTCCCTGGCTAGTGCAATAAATCAGGAAACTGGGCGTCTTCGCTTCTGTTGGAGTAATGTATAGTCTCATCAACTTGCTAAGCTTATTTATTTGTTCATCTGCTTATTCTTTTATATTGTATTATGCCTGTTATTAGTTTAGATTGATAATGTTTTGTGGGGCCCAACTACCTGCAGATGGGTTGATGACAAAGTAGGTAGTTTGAAGTATTTTTTTGGACAAGCAGTTTTAAATAATTCAAGTTATTGTGTTAAATGATATTGTTAAAGGTTGTCATATTGGTTGACGTAGTGTTTCGTCTTGTACTTACATGCTCTAAGATCATGGCTGCATCTGTGTAGTTCTTTCAAATAATTTAGCAATCTAAGCTTGCAGGAGTTTTTGCGATGAATGATAGGAATTTATGGGGTTAGATATTTTATGTCTATGGTTAATTACCTAATCCCTCCCCCTCCTCCTCCCCTCCAGACCGAGGCCCTTTTGTACCTACTTATCCCCAGAATATTGTTTTACCAATCTGTTTGAATTGTATGATCATATATAATTTAGAGCACTAAATTAACAGGGAAACATTATACGAAAGATGAGACGTTTTGTTTCAAATAAAAAACACATGTAGAAGTGCTATGATCTTTGGTGAGTAGGATTGTAGGAATAATATAATTATGTGAAAGATACAATAAAAAGCATGGAGTTTGTACAAACGTACTTACCCATAGGAGAATCCATTTATCACCCAACCGAACCTGTAAACTGAGTATAGTTAGGCTGTGCACTCCCTACTACATATGGTGAATTAGATTTTAGTCATCGGGAAGTCTTTTTAGTAACTAAACATAATAAAACAGGTGAAACCTTTTCCAAACATGGCAAAGTTTTCTTTCTCATTTACATGAACATTCCTGGATGTCGAATTCTTTACAATGCTGTAAAAAAGAATTTGATCAATTATTAAATGGCATTGTCTTGTGCATTGACATACTTTGTGCTCTATAAGCCAAATTGAGCAATTATTGAATATTTTGTTGCTTTGTTTGTGGTAGCCTGTGTCTTTCTGAATTGTGCCTGTTTTTGCTTTTCAGGTTTGCTTACATATGTTTACATTGGATTTTCTGAACCAAGTAGCAAATGGCCTCGAAAAAGATAGCATGTCAGTAAAGTTATATTTCTTATTTTTGGGTTCTCTGTGTTCTTTTTATTTTCAATGTGGTCAAATTCACACTCCTTAGGTTTTCAATAACATGAAACTTCATTTATGACAAATAACAAAATAACATCTGTAATGATACCACACAATTCTTATATGAATACAGAAAGATCACAATCTAGCAGGTAAGAGTTGCGAAACATTTAATAGCTGCATGATGACTAGAGTAACAAGATATCGTCATTCCCTTGACTCAACCTGAGCATCTTACACAGTTCTCTCTCTCTGATATGCCATGTGAAAGTACAAACAGTATGTGTAGTTCCTTGAGTAGTTTCCTCTTGCAATTTTTATCGTTCTGAGTATTCTCTGATCAGCCCCTCCTTGATATAGTAAATCAGTTGGTACTTAATTTAATGTGAAAAGGGAAACTTTTGTATTTATCAGAGGCTAATTGGGGCTGAAGGTATTCTAGAATTGTTACAGCAGTTCAGATATATGTGTGGATATCTAGAATATAATAGATACTTCCACCCATTCAAGTTGTGGGCAATGTTTGAGTCATTTGTCCCTTAGGTAGGTCTTTCTGTAATTATTTCATTTCTCTTAGGCACTCGCTTGTACCATTTTCTTCAACCATCACTCATTTGTACCTTTCCCTACAAATTTTCTCTTCAGTTATTGGAACCCAACCATATCCCTTTGGTTTTTGTTTTTTTTTTTTGAAAATAACCATGTCGCCGTATTCATTGGGTAAACATGGTTCAGAAAGATGTAAACCCGTCAATAATGTGGTTATCATAAGGCCATTTATAATTCTTCCCATTTGCAATTACGATTATTTGCTGGAGAAACAATAAAATCTTACAGCTAATTTAGTAGGATGTGATCTATCCACGAAAATTTGTTTTTGGGTTATGTCCGACCTCTTTTAACTTCGTTTTAGCCCTTTTCGTTCCTTTTTTTTGGGTTTGAGATTGCTGAGATTCATAACCTGGCCCTATTTCTTCCGCATTCTTGTACTGTATATCTTTCCTTGTATTGCTGCTGCATATCGATCATCAGCCTTCTATAAGTTAGTGACAGAGATATCTCAGCAATTGCACTTTGTTAACCTGATATATATGTTTTATCGTAAGGAGAATGATGATTGTGCAAGGCAAGGACTGGGTCAATCCGTATTATTCTTATGTAATTGAATACATTGTCAGAAGCATAATGTTGTGGTCCTTCTGAAAATTTGCTTTTGATCAGTGGACCCTTTTTCTAATACTAAATAAAAAAAGCTATGCAATGTGACTGCAGATACCATCTTGCAGAGAAGAAAATCCCTTCAATCAATGGGCATGCAATGGGTTTCAAGTTGGAGCAATTCATATTTGATGCATTTCCTTATGCACCTTCCACTGCACTTTTTGAGGTAACCTTTTTTTGTTGCCTAGGCTGTAACTCTTTGTAATTCTCTCTTCTTTAACTTATGATCCTGAGGAAGAATAAGAAAATATAGAAAACTTTTCTGCCAATATATAGGTATTGCGTGAAGAAGAATTTGCACCCGTAAAGAATGCCAATGGGTCAAATTTTGACACTCCAGACAGTGCTCGACTTCTTGTTCTCCGTCTTCACACTCGTTGGGTGGTTGCTGCAGGGGGCTTCTTAACGCATTCGGTTCCCTTATATGCAACTGGTAATTTTGTTTAGTTATGCAGTATTATAGTGTGTACGTATAACAAGTGGACAGACACAAAGAAAAAGGAAAAATTATTCACGATGCATAAAAAACTGAGGCAGGCCATTTATATGAATTGGATTGTTGTATGACTTAACTGACAGGTGCTTGTCAAAAGCATGATAGATGTCTCATGTTTTGGGTTTTCCAACTCAATCTAATTCAGGGATAGCAGAACTTGAATCTATCCTTCATCAAATGGGCTGTCTGATAATGGTTTTGAATTTATTGTGAAGGAGACAAATAAAATTCCATAACCTGTTAAACTCGGAAAGAGTTCGCTATCAAACTTTGTTAATTCTTTCCCCTCCCTTTTCTTCTCTCATCTTATCGGCTTTTCATTCCAGGTGTAGAGGTCTCACCACTTTGTTCGTACGCTGGCGAAAACCTAGAAGCTATTTGCCGTGGAAGAACATTTCATGCACCTTGTGAAATCACATTCTAGAGACAACTTACGGGACGTATCATGATTGAGCAGCTTTCGATGGTGTTTTATGTTTCTTTAATAGATTAGTATGAATTTTTTTTTTCTCACACGGGAATGGAGATATAAATTAGTGAATAAAATGATAGTGTTTGAATGAAAAATAGTTTTGGCTTATTTTGAGGAAAGATAGGATGTTATTTGCTTTTAGCTCGGATTATCAGTTGCTTTCTGGTGCTTGGAACGTGTGTTGGTCGAGAATTGTCAATGCTTTTTGACCCATATTGTTTTCACTTAAGACTAGCCTTACATGCTTTAAAACTTGTTTTATATGAAGATTTAAAACTCACATTTACTAAACACCTTTCACACATTTCACCAGGTGATGTAAGACGAAGTGTATAGCTTAGAACCGTCGCATGCCTCACATCTTCTCATCTCATCTATTTTAGCTCGAAGGCTTGATGACCCAAACTTCCAATACCATATATTGGAAGAGCTGACATACCAAATGATACGAGTCTGCTTGACCCATTTTCAATCTCCAAACAATCTGATAATCATTGTCCCATAGAGAAACACCAGGCTATCAAGAAGGGACAACCATGATGAAATTTAAAGTAACAGTAGAAAGGTCAAACCCAGTACAAAAGGCTCCACATATGGCAAGAGTTTCAAAGGGTAAGAGTGATAGGAAGCCTTAAACCTATTTTGGAAAGACTAATTCTCAAATTTGAACCTTTTTGATGTTCCGCTTCATTGTCACTCCAGTCCAACCATGACAAATGGAAAGCAACAGTAAAAACAGATCCTCAAATCCCATCTTTTTTTTTTTTTTTTGAATTGGATGCAATTGTCATTTTCTTCTTCAAAACAAAATTGTAATGGTTAACATACCAAAGAACGAAACCAAGATGAAGTATAACTGGATCTAAGGATCTAATCTCACAAAGTATTGATAGGATATCACACAAAATGCATTGTACACAGATCATTAGAACACCACAGAAATGAAAAATGAAGTGGGATGACCAAATAGTCTGTGGAAGAAGAAAATATCTTCAAGCTTAGGAGGCAAAGCATCCTCTGCACAAAGAGTACATCATTCACCATCTTCAGTCGTTTCCCTTTCCGTTTTCACAGGCGGAGCTTTTTTGTCATCATCGGTAGACCTAGTTGGTCCACTTGGCATTGCATGATTGTAGAAATTACACTTTTCAACAGACTACTAAATCATTTTGATAATTCCTTCTTTGACCTAACAAGGAATACGTGGAGCAAAGAGTAAAACAACTCAGGAAATTTCACCTATGAAGACAAAACCAATAACAAAATAGAAGAGGAACAAGAAGCACAGATATAACAAAATTGGTGAACTTCAAGTAAGAAAAGGGGTTTTTTTTTTGCGGGAGTGGGGTGTTTGAGGCCATGGGGATAAAATAGGTAAAACGTTAGGTAAAGAACAACTGGGATTACAAGATAAATTTTCTTCTGTTTTTTTTTAATAGGAAACAAAACTTTCATTTCATAAAAAGATGAAAGCGTACATAAATAGTGGATAAGAATCCACCAACCCAAAAAAAACAAATGAAGTAAGAAAAAAAAAACTATCAAATACAAGCAGCTTTCCAGTTTTGTTGAAGTACTAGTAATGGAATGTCTCGAAACTCATTAGAAGCCACTTCCTAAAGAGAAGCCAAGAACTTCACTCTGTTCCACAATAAATCATTTTCCTCTTCCTTCCCTTCAAGATTCTACTATTCCTCTCCATCCACACCACCCAGAAGATGGCTAAAAAAACACACTTCCATAAAATGGAAGCTTTTTTACCACACCCGAACCCATCAAAGCGTACCACAAATAAAGAAACAAAATCGCGAGGTGTAGCCCACCACAAATCTGCCTCTCACAATATCTTCTTCCACTAGAAGATAGTAACCGGACAATGAACAAGTGATCAATACTTTCACAACATTCCTTACACAGGACCAACCAATTAGGGGGAAGATAACTAATTGTAAGGCCTTCTCTTTTGCAACAAATCACAAATATTAACCATACTGCGAGCAATTATCTAAGCAAGCACCTGCACTTTAACAGGCACACTAGCCTTCTAAATCATCCGGTGAGGTCGAAGGTAGAACAGTTAGGACATCAATCAAATAATGAAAATAAAAACCACGAGAGAAAATTCCAAAAGAATCAAGGGCCCAAATCCTTCTATCACTATCAGAAGAATCCAAAGAAAATGAGTCAAGCAAAGGAAGTAAGATGAAAACTCCAAGATTTCCCGTTCATTTTGGTTACGGAAAAAACTGAATTTCCACCCCCTTTAAGAGGAAGGAAAATTACAAAACAAATTTACCACATAAGCATTATGAGAACTCGATAAACGACAAAGCCGAGGGAAAAGTAAAGCAAAAGAAGACTCACCGATCCAAATATTCTCCCAAAAAATAAACTTTTTCCCTCACTCCCCACTCTCAATTTAATACTTTTTGAAATTACAAATTTCCAAGGACTACAAAAGGAGCCCCTAGATACCACATTAGAGTCTCATCCATTAAAATGGGTTCCATAGTTACTTTTGTTAATCTAATGACACAGAATTAGACTCCAATGAAAACCTCCAAAGCCATTTTCCAAACAAAACTACATTATGCTTGACCAAATTGTCTATCCCTAACCCCCTTTTATATATAGATTTAGACTTTGACACTACTTCCCACCTAACAAGATGATCTTTCTTCCCTTCCCCACTTATTTCTCACAAAAAATCCCTCATCATCTTCTCCAACATCTTAACAACTTTTTAAGGGATTTTGAAAAAAGACATGAGATATGTAGAAATGCAACCCAAACTGCTTGGATCAAAGTAAACCTCCCTCCCCTAGATAAACAACCCTTTTTCCAATCATCTATTCTATTTTGCACTCTCTTCACAACTAAATTCCAAAAATTTATAGATAAATGATTGCCCCCCAACGAAAGACCTAAACATTTTTAAAGCCACTCACTTACTTCACAACCCAACCCCCTAGTCAAACCATCTATCTTACTCTTACGAACATTTACACTTGCAACTAAATTCTTGGACATATTCACCTTCATCCCCGAAACCAAACTAAAAGTCCTGACAATATCAACTAAATTTTGAAACTTATCTTCATCCCATGACAAGAAAAAAATAGTATCTTCTGCAAACTAAAGATAAGAAACACTAATCATCTCTTTCCCCATTACTAAACCTTTCACTAAACTAAATTTCACCCCTCTGTCCACTAATTTACTTAATCCATCAACTAGCCAAGTAAAAAGAAATGGTGAAAGCAGATCTCCCTGTCTCAATCACCAAGCATTAAATCTTCCATGTGGCTTACCATTTAAAACCACCAACAAAATCGTAGAAGATAATCCTCCCTTAATCCATCTTCTCCACGTACTCCCAAAATCTTTAACCTTAAAAATAAAATCCAAAAAACCTCAATCTACATGATCATACGTTTTTTCAAAATCAATTTAAAAAATAACTCCCTCCTTGCCCTTTACTCTAAATTCCCCAACCACTTTATTACCACTAATGCACAATCTAAAATTTGTCTCCCCCTGACAAATGCAGTTTGATCTCTAGATATTGTAATCCCCAAAATCTCCCTCAACCTTATTGACAACACTTTGGCTAAGATCTTATCCAAAATGATAACTAAACTTATCGATCTAAAATTCCCAATTTTTAATGAATTATTCTTCTTAGATATAAACAAACAAAGGTTGCATTAGTGTTCACATTTGATCCAAGTGACTTGTCTTTAGAACACTCAAAAACAACTTATTTCACTTCCTTCTCCTCAAAAGGCATCTCCAACCAACTATATTTATAAACCTCGATAGGATTCCACTCCAACCCAATTAAATTTGGCCTTGACCCTTCTTGAGTTGAATAAAGACCTTTGAAACATTTAATGATTTTTCTTCAATGTTCTTTTCATCCTTAATCATCAAACTATTTCCTAATTCAAGTTTACTTATCAAATTCTTCCTTCTTCCTTTAGCCGGTCTATGAAAAAAAATTGAATTGTTATCCCCTTATTTAACCCATTTAGTTTTTGCCTATTGCCTCTAACTAATTTCCTCTTTAAACACCACTTCTTCGAACTTATTCTTTAAATCAACTATCTTCCTTCTCAATTGATTATTTAATTCTCCCACAACATCCAATCAATTAATCTCATAAATACAATTCAAAATCATACTTTTTTCCAACCTTACATAACCGAACACTTCTTTATTCTAGACTTTTACTTTTTGCTTTGCCAATTCTAATTTCTTCATAAATTTTAAGTCCCTCCCCATCCTTGGACCATATTTTCTTGCCACCAGCTATTAAAATTTCACTTAAACTTATGATGTTCCAACCACATATTCTCACACCTAATAGGAACTAGACCCCGCTTAAAAGCACTCAAGTCTAAAACAATAGGAAAATAATCAGATACAACTCTAACAAGTGTTTCTTGTCTCACATTAAGAAAACACTCCTCCCAATCCTATGAAAATAAAAATATATCCAACCTGCAAGATAAAATGAACATCATGGAGGTTGACTTTTGGGGTGGGATTCCTGAAGCTACTCACTTAATCAACTAATAAAAGTTCGAGCTCAAGAAGACCGTGATACACTCTTGGGGTGATGTTTGGCATGAAAAGACTCCTAAGGCCATCACCTGGCAGTAATGCCAGAATGAAGGTGCTTGGAGGATTGGCTAATGATTTAAACTGAATCATTATTTGCTCAAGCAGTAATCCCGTCTTTGAGCCTACCTCCTCAAAGCTTGAGTGCAAAAATTTCTAAAATTGCTCCATGTAACACAGCTTCGTCAAAACACTAACAAAGCCTACCAAAAAAGGCCTTTCAGCATGAATATAGCAGGGATAATAAACTAAAAAAAAAAAACATTACTTTAAGAGGGAACAACTGAAAACAATCATTACTTAGTGATATCCATTTTTGTTGAGTTGCGTCATATATAAATGCCCAACTTCCCGTATGGTCTAACTCTTTATATTAGTATATTGATATTAGAAGTACAAAAATATGAATTGCTTGTTGACAAGATATAGACTACTAATTTCATGTATATGACCTTATCGCACTGAAATAAAATGAAAAGCATATGCAGAACTCTATAATATCTTACAAGTTAAGAGCTTATTTTTGTTACTACAATCAAAAATGGTCAACTATGTAAAAATCGGAACCATACAATTATGAAAAAAATTATGCACGACTTGTTACCGACTCTTCCAACCAATTCCATTATAAATTCATCATTTTTTTAAAAAAAAATTCATGAAATATTCATCTGTCTCTCCATATTAAGACTAAAAATGCAAAGTTTACACACACCCATATGTCGCAGACCAAAATTTATCACGTCATATTCCAAGAGTTTGTGCAGTTAAGATATTTTTACGAGGTAGAATAAACGAACAAGAGTTGTCCAAATGCTCTTTATTAAGTTTCCTATACTAGTGAAAAATATGAGGAAGGATAGGGATTAAATGGTTATTTTCATTGTAAGTCCCTTTGGAACAAAAATATTAACTTTTCATCAATAATAGAACCTTCAAATTTTATTCTAGAAATCGGCATCGTACATAGAATTGTGCATGTAATCCATATAGGGGATGTTTGGCTGGAGTATTAAGGGGTTGGAATAGAGAAAATTAAAACACTCTAATCCAACCTTATAATACAAACTGCAACCCATGTCTCGGAGATTATGTTTGGTTGCCAAAAATACTCCGCATTATATCTAGGCTTATTTCGTATACATATAAAATATATATACGAATAACAAGCTCTCAGGCACTGCCGCTACAACTCAACAGCAATTGGAATCCTCACACTGTGGATGCATGTAGCAACTCTAAAAAGAAGAGGATATCAATGACTCATTCAGCTATTTATTATTTCTTCCTTTTGTTATGTACAGGATCATGTTTTCATGAATCTTGTTGGGCTCCTGAAAATGTTTACACTGCGGCTAACCTTGTCTACCATTAATGCCACCATTCTGGAATATCTAGAAACTGGTTCTACATTAGTCTCTTGGGGTTATGAGAAGAGAGAAGATGACAGAAATTTATCTTATTTTACAGTGTTGAATCACTAAAGATGGTGTCTGAGGCCAGAATTGCACCTATTTTGTAGTCAGCCCCCTAGATTCTATATATTTTCAATACAAACACTGAAAAGTCATCACTTTGAAAAACAATCAAGAGTAGCTTACTCTTTTGCCCATCTCTTCATGTGCACCCGACTATAGGGCAATTGCTACCAATTTTTTACACTTGTATACCTACCATTTAAAGGAAGATCAATAGAAAGAAAATTATGTTTGACTGCCATGCGTTCCATGATAGCAACATTAACAATTATTACTCAGATAAGCAGAAGATATCACTTACATAAATGGACAATAAGACTACAAAAGTACCTACAGTTCCAGGGATATGCCACTGTGCAGAAACCTCATCCCTTGTGCATGTTTAATAATATGGTGATACCCCAAGCAGTGGCTCCAGGCTTACCAATTGATGCTTCAAGAACTTGTAGACTGATTCAGTTGTCATGGCCGCTATTCGAATTATAACACCTATTCCCTGCACATGCAGAAGCAGTAGCCAGCAGGTAACTTGGGGATGTTATGACAAAGACAACAGCTCTACCATAATCCATCAAGACCTATACTTACAATAATGAAATGTATTGTAAAATTGGAACTCAATCAACTTAATCAAAATAAATTTAAATGAAAAGAGTAGATGAGGCTTTTTGCATTCAGATTTCACATTATACTCCTTCAAACCAATAGAAATTAGACAACAGGGAAGCTTATATGTTTCCCATGCTTTCTGTGTCTGAAGCCAATTAATGAGCTTATTTCTTCATATCACTTATACCACAGCCTGGAGACAGGCTAGTCCAACACCTTGTGTTTTGGTTGAACGTGATACCAATTTTCTACCTCGCCACATAAGAAAAAGAACATTATACAGAACTTAAAACTGGATTTTGACATACACAGAGAAAGTCCATAGTGGCAAAAGGCTTGGCTAACAACCAAAAGACTGTGGGTTCAATTATGAGGAGCCACTTTTGACGTCGTTAACCAATTTGATCCACATAAACCAAGAGTGCCTGGCGGACCCGGGGGCTTGAGCAACCCATCTTCCCAACCAAAAACAAAAAAAAGGGGGTTAAGGCTTGAGGGTAAGGAAAAGAAGGCTACTGTAAGCTATAGATGGATTTCTCCAGTGAGGTATATGCTCTTTAGATATGTATAGAACTCCCTGTCTATTATTGCAGGGATACATAAAGACCAAAAAAGTGAGCTTTCACAAACTGATCATTTAAACATAAAATGAAAACACACAAAAAAAAAATCTAATTAAAAACTCAATGAAAGGCTGCTGACCAAATAGTTCACATATAAAAAATGTCAGTAAACTCAGTACCCTCTACTGAATATGTTAGGTTGACTTGATTCTTAGAGCATGTAAACACGGACTTACATATATGGTTAGTGAATTGCCAGACCGTGAGAATACAATTTGTCACATGCATATCAGTCAACACTTGGCAGTTACTCTTGAACACACCTTTCAGCATTGAGTTGAGGTTGAAGGAAACAAAATGAGTGTCTAGACCTGCATGATTACTGTGCAAAATAAGAAGAGAGATGTGAATAGAAGTACCTTAGGACCAAAGACACTGCAAGAAGCAATAAAGGGTGGTACAGACAAGCGACAATTGTCATGTGTGTCTGCATAGAGACCAAAACCAATGGAAGGAATACGGAATTGCCCAGACATCATCTTCTTCACATCCTCTTGAACTTGGTCCTGGACATGCTTCAACTTTGGCCTACAACCAAGCAGCTAACAATGTACACTTTATCCAAATTCATGTCACCTATCAGTACATCACTGAGTAGCGTAGAACATTAAGAGAATAAGAACAGCTTAAACTAGATGATAAAATAGCCACTACCCACCCCAAAAGTATGACCATTGCAATTACTTGATAGTCTTGCATGCGTTCAGCAACAGTTGCAGTGCTTCCTTGCTCTAGCAATGTCTGTGTCAGAAAATAAAAACAATTCGAGACCATAGTTATTAGTATCGTACGATACACGATGCATATTGTACAATACGTCACTATACACTTGAAACACGATACGTATCGTACCTCTGTATCGTTTTTGTACCATATCGTAAGATACACGATATGATATGTACGATACGTCCGATACATGACGATTTTATTTTTTTAGGACTGAAATGACATCATTTTATCCTAGATCTTATTTTTAAATCACTAACCAGTGAATCAACATCATTTCAATGGTTATGATTTAAAAATAAATAAATAAAATCTATTGTTAATGTTGTTCAATTAAATTTAAAATTCCTAATTAATATTAAAATTATTCAAGCAGTTGATGTTAGAAGTTTGAATTAGAGGTTTTTGCATTTTGATATTACTGAACTATATTGAGAACTTAAATAGTTGGCGGAATATTAATAAAATGCAATGTTATTATGAGTCTAACTTTTTTACAAAGGTATATATATATATTTTATTAATAATTATTTAAAAATTAAAATTGCACGTATCTTACGATATATGATACGATACAATACAATATACTATTTTTGAAAAACAATACGCTTTCCGATACGCGATTTGACAACTATGTTCGAGACTACAGGTTGAGAAAACAAATGAACCCTCCATATGCATGAAGTTCAATCTTAATCCCTAAATTAAAAATATGTGAAAGATGAAAGAGAGATAATCTACTAAGGTTGATTTCAATTATCATCAGATCGCTCAAGAAATAGATACTGGTGGAATATTATACAAATTTAGCATGTACTATGTTATTAAGAGTGAATACAGTTTTTAAGTTCAAGTTTTCTTACAAATTTTAATGATAAAATATGTGAAATAGTTTGCAAGTAATGTCAGCACAAACTCACACAAAAGGAGCTTAAAGAAGAATACTACCGTGTCAAGAAATAAAGGCTTGTCACCTTCTAAGAATATGTGGTTGGTACTCTTATAAAATCCAAAATCCCACTTTTCTCCACTTTCATGACGCCCACTAGTAATCCAATCAACAATGAGCAAGCTTGAATCAGACATAACTCTGAACACCTGCTTTTGAGAGTACTTTGCTGTTGAAAAACATGTCACTGGATCTGGAATCAGAACCAAAAGGGCATCACTTCCAATTCTGGCCTACTGCATTGGCATTCATTAGCCACCGTTACTAAGAACCCTTTCCAATACAATTAGTCAGAAAGAAAAAAAAGAAGCAAATGAAGAATCACATCCAAGACATTCAATTATATCGTTTTTGACTTCTGGAAGAAGGATTTCAATTTATATGTACACCTAGATTAACAGTGACAGATAAAACAACAACATAGACAGAAATCTCTTCAAAATTTTCAGGTGTCGTTCATATGTGTTTTCGTGCTAATTCAATGCCAAACTAAGCAAGACCCAAACTCCAAAAAAATGCAGTCTTTTACAAATGTACTCTATTTGTGTGTGGCAAACATATCCAACTAAATACCAATAAAAATAATTTCATGGAGTGTAAACCATGTTTCATAAAATCTCTGAAACTCCAACAACAACTCGATCATATACTGTTATTGTAAAGGTTGATGGTAATAATTGGCGCAGTAAAAAATGAAAATAATTACAAAAGAAAATTATATAATATGATTCTACAATAACTCTCGTCTCGAGAGCAAGAAAACCAAAATTTTCTGTTCCATACAGAATTGTTACCTCCAAGACTTGTTCAGAGCACTTTGATCCCACAGACTTATAAACCTATATTCAAATTGAAAGAGATAATAAAAAACTTCGGAATCAAAAAATAACTAAAGACATAACCATCAATGCAAAAAAGAACAAAAGTCAATGCATTTAAAAAATGTGACCTTTGTAGAAGCCTGGGTAGTCAAAACTGTGGTGCACCCATCTCCGATTGTGATACCACATGATATCGTATCTCCCTGGATAAACCCAACACAAATAATACATGTCAGTTCAGCAAACAAATGTCCGTATCCGTGTGTGTATATCTGTATAGCAACAGAGTGCAAAGAACATACAGAGACAATGCCACCACCATAAGTGAGTGTGTAAATCCAAACAGCATCAGTTTGGGAGGTACCCACCTAGGAAAACCACCATGAAATGAAACCTAAATCAAATTTGGCCGCAACAGTATCGGGATTGTTGTGATATGATGATAAGGTTTTGTGGGTATGCTTGAATTTAGACTCGGTCTGAAATTGAAAGAGAGATTGAGACTGACCTTTCTGGGGATGATGAGTTTCAGAGGGTACTTTGCAAAGCACTGAGTGACCGTTGACCTCCCTCTTATTCTCTCCACTACCACCTTTCCCGTTTCCATCCTCCCTCCTCGTGCTATGCAATGCTTTTGTTTTTTTTTTTTGAGCTATGCAATGCTTTCGATGAGAGAATAGTAGAGCAACATTACCATTTGAATGCTTTATCCCTGAGGTTTTTCCCGATCCATGTCCCCTCAAAACATAATTCACAAAATTTCAAACTTAATTTTCAAAACTAAGTCTCCTTTTAAAAACTTCATTTAGAATGATGTCTTTTCACCTAAAAATATCATTTAAAATGATAATTTAAAATTTAAAATCGTTATTTAAAATGACATTTTTAAACATAATTAAAACAAACAGCAATAACAGACGTTAAAAATTATAAAAAGAATTAAAAGTCAAATAACGTTTTTAAAAACGTCATTTCAAATTATGTTTTCATCCCTGTTTAACTAAATGATGTTTTGTACCCTGTAATTTTTTACAATGATGTTTTCTTCCAACTCAACTTGTAATAAAATTTCATAAAAGCTAATAAATTTTATCTTTTGTCTCACATAATAATTTAGCAAATTAAAAAAAATTAAAATAAATGTTATTAAATATAATTCCCTTTTCATAATAATTTTAAACTTATTTTATAATCAAAAATAAAATTCGCAAAAGAATAATTTAATTTTATATTTTTAAATATAAAAACGTATTTGTAAAACATATATTTAATAAAAAAAACTTAAAAACATGTTTTGAAATCACACTTCTATATAAAAAAATATGTATTTAACTCATTCTTTAACACATGCTTTATTAAGTTGCAGACACTCCTGATTATGAATTCTCAATATTAATTCCAACATTTTATGATCGATCATGCTATTTAAAATTGTAACTTACAACTTAAAAAAATTACAACTTTGCCTTAAAAAGTTGTAATTTTCGATACGATACCACTGATGGTACCATAGCGTTTCCCCATTTTAATAAGAATATATTATCATTGCTTGAAGTTCAATCCCATTACACATAGTATGCAAAAAAGAAAAAATATAAATAAGAAATTATAATTTAGTCATCACCCATTTTAGTTGATGTGCGAATAAATTGATTAAAAAAAATCTAAGTATTATAATCTCACTTCCCACGTCATAAAAGTATCTCAATCTGCAGGAGCTTTTCCCCAAACCCAGTCGGCCCCAAAACTTTATTTCACAAACTTAGTTTTTTTTTGTAAAACGTCACTTTAAATGATGTTTGTAAAAAAGTTTTTTTTTTAGAAATTTGATTTGTATATGTTAAAAAATTATGTATTCCAATTTTATGTTATAAGTTCATCGAACAATTATAGTATACCTACAAAAGTGTGCAAAACTTCAAAATATAGAAAAAAAAGATACTTATACATTAAAACAAAACAAATTTATTACATGACACTGTAAGAAATGCAGTTTGTCAATAATTTAGTTGATGTAGAAAACAACATAGAGGATTGCCCATTACACATAAACTCGATGGAATAAAAGTGTCAGACGCATTATCACTTAAATTAGAATAATCAGAAAGTTTTGTATCTGAAACAAGTAACGGATTCTGCAAAATTTGAATCTCAGCATAATCAGGATCGAAATACTGAATTTTTGCATGGTCGCTTGCATGGAAACAATTAAGTTTACATTGCATTTGATCATTTTTACGTTCAAGCCTTGCTATAATCTCGTTATGGTTGGTAGAGTTTTGTGGATCATATATATCAGTTGAACGTGTCTTCGGTACTATTAATCCATGTCAATAATAGTATACTTCAAGCTCACAACGTTTGTCATATAACTATCGCCATCTTGGCGTGAGTTCAATACGAACATTAGGAGGCGAGAGTCGGTCGCAGGCCCCACAAATACGTGTCCAACTTGACCAAATGATTGATAAGGGTCGATGGGCTCATTTCGAAACTCACGCTTTTGTCTATACCAAGTTACACCGGTAGAATCTGTGTAAGATTCAATTGAACGAACTACGTTTACACCACATGTTGCTTGGCCAGTCGAGCATTGACGTTCGTAGGGTGAATATGAACTTTGTTGTTCATTGCACGATGAAAAACCTTGGGTGGTTTGACTGGATTGTCTATTAGATGTGCGTTTTGACATATTTAGGGTTATGATGTACACAATGATTAAGGATGGTTTATATAGACATGAAATACAATTATATATAAATTTGACAGGACAATTACTAGGTACGAGTAACGTGACTTGACACAGGTAAAGTAATGGTATGACTTCACACTAATAAAGTAATAACATAACTCGTGAATGAGAAAAGGACTAATATGACTTGTCAGTAAAATGATGACACACTGATAAAGTAATGATATGACTCCACACTGATAAAGTATTGACATATTTCGTGAATGACAAAAGGACTGAAATGACTTATCACGAGACTGACTACACTGATAAAGCAGGACTGACATGACTTGTCACTAGACTGACTACACTAACAAAGCAATGAAATGAGTTCACAATGAAAAAGTAAATACACAATAATTCAAATACAAATGACTGACATGACTTGACACTACACTAGTTAGAAAATCTTGCTATCTCACTAATGAACAAATGCAAAATTTGTTAAGTTTCATCATACATATAATCATCTAACATGTATTGTGCATTAGACAATATATTGTTTTGCTCAACTGGTATCAACTCTCGTCCATATGCAGTTCTCATCATGTCTTTTTCTTGTTTGAGCATATAACAGCGAAACCTACGAACCAGCATTCTATTATTCTCTCTTCAAACTTGTTTTACTGCTGATTCATAGTCCTCTCTATTCCGATGTTGCATTGTTAGTGATCGTATACGAGGCACTGGTATGCCAAGTTCTCTTAGTTGTGTAAATAGTTCATCTGATTCTTTAGCACGGAAAGCCCACTCTCGTCGTACTCCTGCATAATACTCTTTTGGATCAGAAATTCTCTCATTCTTGTAATCATCGTTCCACTATTGTAATAACCAAACTCGTTCACGTCTGTGATTGTTAAAGCTCGTAGAGAAATTTGATGTAGACATAATGTTGTGTTTGTCATATCAACGGCAAAATGGTGTTTAAATAGTAGTGTCTCAAGCCTACTATGTTAGACAGATCATATCAGTCAAAAGTGAAACAGTGTAGTTATAAAAAGTCATATATGGTATAATCATTCATCAAACAAGTGTAAGGTCATTTCAATCTTTTGGATCATCAAATGTGTGTTGTCACTTCAACACTTGGTATGCATAAACTCATTAAGGGTTAGGTTAGTTCAGCCTATGGTATGTTGAAAACCATTCTTGGTTTTGTCAATTCACCACATGGTCTGCTAAAATCTATGCAGGGTGTAGTCACTTCAACACATGACATTAAGTAGTCACGCGTAGTTACTTTTTCTTCTTCAGCATTATGACATAGCAGTTAGTTGTCAGTTCAAAATAGTGTTTGTATTCATATGGTCAGTTGTTAGGAGATTTGTGTATTAACTATATATTCTTAGTCTTTAAGCAAGTAAGTGAAGAAAACTTATTTCCAACATGAATTATAGTGTTAGAACTTTATATGAAAATATGGGTTATCATTGGGCCTTAGAGGATGAGTTTTTATATCCAACGAATCCTCGTTTACGTTATTGTAGCGGTGCCATTAGAACCTTGAGGGCCGAATTGCAATATCGTCTGACGGAGAGAGAAAATCTTATTGGAGATATGCAAACTTGCAAATTAACGAAAGCCTCGACAAATTGCCATCCATATGGGAATTGAGACACCTCAACAATTGGAGCGAGCATTGTATCATTTTCGTGCTGAGAACAATCACATGACAATTCGTCTTAATCGTTACAACCTCCGTCGCATCACACGAGAACATGCTGAAGAAGGGTTAATGGAAGAAGCATGTATAAGTTTCCTTCTAAGTTATGAAGTTGGATGCATTTCTGATGTCGAGATGTCCGACAAAGATGTTGACCCATGAAATATTTGTGGAGAACTATAATGTTAGTGTTGTGTGGTGAACTATGATGTTAGTGTCACAAGATAAAATGTCTAGTCAGTATTGTATGGACAAGTGTTAAGTTAGTGTTGTATTGTGTAGGCAAGTGTTATGGTCATGATGTGGAACAAGTTTGAGATTGTATTTATTCCTATCTATCCCTGTCACATCATGCAACCTATCCACCAATGTCAAGTAAGTGGTGTCATGCGCAACCTTTATCACACGCTTATAACCATTATCGTAGCGTAAAACATCATGGTTCTTGAATATGGTACCACCCCAATAAATCATCACAGAAGCACATCTTCTAGCCATTCTTAACAATTCTACAATAAATACATCAAACGTTAGTGTGTATACACAACAAAAACTTTTGCTTTCATCGAAACTTTTGCTTGTTCATGCTTTGAAATGTAAATAAACTGGGTAGCCCGTTCTAATTTTCAATCACCCAATACTAAGGAAGGACCACATTAAGTACATAAAATGGTTGACATTTACATCAGGAAAGTAATCTATAAAGACTACTAATATATTTTTAAACCTCCCAGAATAATTATGAAAACTTGAAAAATGTAACTCGCCAAGAGTGACTAACTTTTAGAGAGAATGCAAAAAGAGTGACTAACTTTTAGAGAGAATTCAAAAAAATGAATTTGAGACCTTTGAATTACCAAAAGTTAAACTCAATCATTAGGAACTGAGTTAAACAAAATCTAGACTCACTATGGTTTTTGAGTAGAAAAATGCTACATAATCTAAATAGAACTCAAAAATTAAAATTCAAATGCATATTATCATTTGGATGGATGAGTCTCACTGAAAAAATTGATAGAATCTATTCATCTAAGGGATGATATGCATTTGAGTTGTAATTTTTTGAAATCCTAACAAATGAATCTACATTGAAGCAAAGTTTTGAGTTTATGATTTACAAATCAAAATGCATATTTTCTGGCTAAATAAACTATTTGTGAAAATTTTTAAGCATATATGCTTTACTAGTTATAAAGGCTAAGAAAACAGTTAGTTAATATTTGAAAGTAGCTTTAAATAAGCATAGAGAAATATCGTTG